TCAAAGAAATCGATTATTTTCCAATTAAACAAAATTCAGATGTACACATCAATCCAAACCCTACGGTCAAGACGATCTGGCCGTCGCAGTTCCATCGCTGCACAATTCCTTCTAGCTTCTGCATGTAGAAACTCATCGCTGCTCTATTGTCAAAAGGCTACCGTTAATAGACTCACTTTAGTAACGATGTCAAAGCTTTTCGAGACGACACTTGTTCTTACCTGTAATAAAGGCTTGGGTCTTCGTTCGGTAGAATAGTGGTAATTGCAGAGTTCGCATTTGTCCGTGTTCGAGGAAGACAACCACTTCTCCAAGCAGGTACGATGACAGACCCCAACGGTTCCGCGGCAGTTGCACGGTGAGATCAGAGGTTCACCTTTCGTTGGACTTGAGAATTCTCCGCTATGGCAGATTCGACACACGGCAACGTCTTCGCTGAAAATCAGTTGCATATGAAAAATGATTCAGTAATGCTATGGCACTATAAATGAAATACACATATTTTGGTCCATTACGAATTCGATTATCCTTGGTCGAGGGCAACGCACAACGCGGATGTCAAAGCCTTCACTGCATATGCGTTTCGCTACCACACAGATAACGTCAGTGGGGTACAAATGAGGGGGCCAGCAACAAACAGTCTGCATAAAGCAGTTCGCGGCTGAGCTTGTCTTTTGTACCCTGTTGATGCTATTGGTGTGGTACACAGACGAATCAGCAATTAAACCGTAAATGATAGTTTTGCTCGGTGCCCTCAGTCATGGATCAGGAACGGGGGTCGAAAACTTTGGATAAAACTAAAACAGTCTGGAGCTCCTAGTGTCTTCAAAGATGTTTTTTGCTATTTCAAAATTGAGTGTGCTCATCAGTCAAGGACTAGTAAAGTATCCATCATTCTGTGAGCAATATTTCATGCTTCTCAGACTTTCATAGAAACGGGTCAGAATAACACACAATGCATTCATATTTCTGCATGAAATTGACATAGGCATATGCAGTCATGCGGAAACCTTATTTCTAAGTCTGGGACCAGTAATCATTACAGATATGCGCTACCAAATTCGATTTTTGATACTACATGAAGCCTTCTATGAGGGAAACACATCAAAAAGGTGGAGTATCAACCATTACAACTGTAAAGAGATCATGGACATCGGTCTGGGCGAGTGCTGTTTGAAACAAAAAAGAAAGCAAGCGGCATAAAATATCAATCAGAATATCACATGGTTTTTTACAATGGAATTTGCATGTTGCTGTTCTCTGCTCTTGAAGTTCTTGCGCTCCTCAATCAGTCAGTCAGTCACTCACTCACTCACAACCGCTTATTTTTTCAGATCACGTAGGCAGACACATTAGACAGGTCTCCAACGTTCTTTATCCTGTGTCAACATTTGAAGATATGAAGAGACAGCTGGAGTCCGAAACAAAATCCTTCGAAATATTGGAGGATCTTCGGACTATATATATATAGAATTTTCTTCATAACTTATTCTGGTCTACTGAGGGTTATATATATATATTACCTTTCTTTCATATTATATATATATTAACGCGGATGACCACCGTTCTTACTTTCCTTCAGAAACAAGTTTTCTCCATGACCGCTTTTCTTTCGCTTCCTCTTCATCGGCCGTTCGCAATACCGCACCTTCCTCACTCTAAATTCAAAAGATTGTTACCACTTCTGGTTGAAAACTTGTAAAGGACAGTTCACTCGCTCAATTCGTACCAGAACTGCAAATC